GGGGGGGGGGGGTTGTGATAGATGAAGCTTATGTCCCTAGTTACCCATGTCCTAGGAGAAATTTGATAGTTGGCTTGCTTTCGAGGCCAAAGCAGGCAGTCATATTCAGATAAGCCACAATTGTTGATTTTTTTTCATTCAATCATACAGGTTAATCCCACTGAGTCTCGGGGACTCATTTACAAGAGAGACCTGATTTCTTTAACAAAGAGTGATGACAACAGTGGATAACAACAACAATAAACAATCATAAAAGAGGTCTACACATTTTTTTATACAAATTAAAATAAAATGGCAACCAAAAGGACAGTCAAAAGGAAAAAGTAGCAAAAAACCCAGCTAGATTATAAGGCGGTGTAGAAAACTACAAACAGGAACATGCCTCCATTGGTTCTTGCCAGGAACTTAACATATATTTAAAGCCAATTAGAGAGGTCAAGTCCGTGAGCTTCAGATCTTTGTGCAAGATATTCCAGGAAACAGGAGCGGAGTAGGAGATTTCTTCAGGCAGACATATTTTTTCTTGTCAGTCTTGAGTCCTGCTGGTACTTTCGATCCAAAGTCGGTACCAGCATTTCTTCTTCCGATTTTATCCTCAAATCGTGTCCCCATTGAGTTTGTTGATTCCTAAAAATATTTGGGTATCTTGGTCAACTCGCATCTCTCTTTTAAGCTCCATGTGGAAAACCTAATAAAGAAACTGAAAGTTAAACTGTTAGTAAAAAGTAAAAAGTTAAACCTGACTGAAAAATGTTGGATTGTATACCTGGATTATTGAGCATGGACTTTGTTGTTAAACTGTGTTTCTTTTTCAGAAACGGATCCCATCTAACTCTGAATGCTAGGAAACTCTTTGTAATTGTGACTTTCCTTCCCTCCACTGATTACAGTGACATTTACATGAACGCTCCTACAAGCACCCTGCCGATGTTGGATGCTGTCTACCATGGTGCACTAAGATTCATAACTGGCTGTAACTACCGTACCCACCACTGCATCCTGTATTCACTGGTTAACTGGACATCATTAACTTCACACAGACTCTCTCACTGGTACATTTTCATCTTTAAATCACTTCTTCATCTGCAGCCTTCATGCGTCTCCTCCTACATGTCTCTGGGTGAGTGCAGCTACAGCGTGCCCTCTCAGGACATTATTACCTGCAGTGTTCCCTCAGTGCGGACTGAACTTGGCAAAAGGGTCTTCTCTTACTCCGCTCCCGTTTCCTGGAATATCTTGCAAAAAGACCTGAAGCTCTCAACCTTGACCTCTCTAAGTGGCTTTAAGAATCTGTTGGACTCCTGGCAAGGACTAATGCAGACATGTTCCTGATTTTAGTTTTCTACATTCACCTTATAATCTAGCTGCTTTTGATACTTTTTTTGGCCATCTTATTTGCGTTTAAAAAAAATCTGTATGCCTTTTTATAACCATCTATTGTTTTCGTTGTTGTCCACTGTTGTCATCAATCTTTGTTGAAATCAGGTCTCTCTTGTAAATGAATCCTCAAGGCTCAATGAGATTAACCTGTCTAAATAAAGGTCGAATGAATGAAAAAATGGCCTATATATTCATATACATAAAACTAAGTTAACAACAATAATTATCTTAGGAACAGACTGCTTTGAGTCTAACTTAATTGCAGAAATCTTGACTTGAGCAAGCATGAAGGCAACGGTGAAAGGAAAAACTCCTTCCTGATAAAGAAACCTTTAGCAGAACCAGGCTCAGGACAAGCAGCCATCTGCTTCGACCAACTGGGTTTGAGAGGAACGGACACACAATGACAGGTTGAGAATCACATCAAGATAGAAATGGTATCAAATGAAAACTATTGAATTTTAGCAAATCATTTAAGGATTTGAGGTCAATTTGTCCTCTAGTAGTCTAAGTCTATGGCAGGCAGCATGACAAGCTGACCTTAACTATAGGATTTATCAAAAAGGAAAGTCTTAAGCCCAGTCTTAAAACTGGACAATGTGTCAGCCTCATGGACAGAAACTGGAAGTTGGTTCCACATCCTCTGAGTGCCAACAGAATGTGTGAGATTTTACAGAATATTATTTTCAGGTTTGACCAAAACATTTTTGTCCTTTTTCAACGTAAGACAGTCTCAGGTTTGAACTCTGGCATGGCACTTTGAGATTTTTGTTAATGAAAAGTGCGTTACAAATTAAATTCATTATTATTATTATTATTATTATTGAAATGGGCATCTTTCTTTCCTTTAAGGAAAAATAGCCCTTTAATTTTAGTTTTGGTCTGTTGATTGTGTCATGCCATTTAATTTACAGGGTGGGGTAAGTTTGCTCGTCTGACTCGTGCATTAACCAGCAGTCGGGGAGTTCTCCAGCAGCTTGCTCCTGCAGTTCATAAAGGAGAGAATGTTCACAAACATTCACGGCTTGCAGAGGTAACATTCATTATTTTCTTCAGTTTTTTTTTTCTTTACCTAATCCTGTATTTGAATAAAAGTCCTTTTTAATTTTTCATAAATTTAAAAAACTAAAAACTCAGCATTTTTCAACATTTGTTATTTTGTTGATAATAAATTATATTTTGTTCCTAGAAGTTCTACAGACTTTACAGCTGTATCAACATATGGTTCACTGGTTTGGATGGAAGCTATTTTTAGTAGCCATTATTATCATTTGACAATGCTACTCTAATGCAGGTGTAGCTTTATTATTTATTTATTATAAACCATTATTTAAGGAAAATCTTTTTCAAATTAGTCACAAAATGTACTATGGCAAAAAAAAAAAGAAGAAAAAAGAAAGCTTTCTCTTGCCACATATTTTGAATATATTTTTTAATCTTATGTACAGTACATTCCTTTATACACTTATATAACATTGAAGACTTTCTCAGCTGCCATTCTGACAATGACACTAACAGAGGAAGCTGGTCTCACTCAGGTGTCCACAGGACTCCACGTCAACACCTCTGAGCTCTTAGTAGATGTAATGTTGACATGAAGCCAAATAACTGTGTTGTCATACCTGCTGAAAACAATACCATAGTTATATCTTAGCTTTTAAAAAGTGTCAGCCTAAAAAAATATGCTATATTTTACAAAACTATTTATTGATAAGAATAAAATAATTTTAATGTAGTAAAAATACACTTCAAAGCATGTGTAAGCATAAAAACTAACTACTGTGAGTTAATATCCTGATGCATGCTCAATAATCCAGGTAGAAAAAAATCCAAAAAAAGATCAATCTGGTCCTCTGGCCATTCAAATACAAAAAAAAAAAAAAAAAAAAGCAAAAAAACCAGAAACGTTTCGTCTCTCATCCAAGAGACTTCCTCAGTCTGAGGTGCTGTTTGAAATAAAGAGAACACTGTTTTAAACATGGTCTGGTTGATTTTCAAAACAACAATAAATAATTTTAAAGGAGTTAAGCGTAAGTTTATGTTGAGCACTATGTCTAAAAGAATACAATTCTGCATTCGAGTATTTTTAGTTTCTCGTACATCTTGTCTGTCAAGTGGTTATGCAAATTATTTCACCTCTTGTTTTATTAAAACAGAAAAAGGGGAAGAGTGGCTTCTGTCAGTCATGAAAAGTTTTCAAAGATTCAGGACTTCCTGCATTGAAATTAAACAAATGATGGTACACTTACATAATCAAATGTTCAAAGACAACAGGCTAACATTGGATTCACTCACAGTGAGATGGATATTTTCATGCGTCTCATGGTCTGCAGTGTAATTTCATACAAGACACTGATAAAACCGGACTTGTGTGTTTGATGGAATAGGCAGCAAATAAAGACTTTGTTTTTCCTTCTCTGACAGCACCTGTTGACATTTCACATTTTAGCAAACACATTTTAATTTCTCCTTTTAAAACAACCATGTGACCAATATCATCAGTGATATTCATTGTAACAATGTTAGCATTCAAATTGCAGCAAAGGTTGTTACACTTTGACTTTAAAGGATTTTAATGAACACACCAGTTCTGCCTTGTTGCACATTTGAGAGGGATTTAAAGTGTTTGAGTTAATCAGTTTAAACGCTGCTGTATTAAGATGCAGTTTTGACTCTTCGACGCTACATTGGAGATGATTTGAATTTTCACAGTTCTTCTTAAAATGCCCATAATTTATATTAGTTATGTCACTGAAGTAATTTGGTTTGTTGGACTACATTGTAATTTTAACTAATCCAAGTGTGTGTATGTGTGTATATATACAGTTCTCTAATCATCCTGTAGTTGTAATGTGTGCCGCACATTAGCCTCCTTGTTCTTGTAAATGTTTTTAACTTCATTCTAAATTTCTAGCAGTATTTTTGATATATTTGCAGATAAAATAATTTTTAAACTGTTGAAAATGTGTAAACGTTTGAAGTTTTGTCAGTGTTACCTATAAGATTGTGTTATTTTAACGGAAGTTATTTTTTTTTTCTCGTCAGGCACTCAGCGACAAAAGGCATCGTCATCGCTATGATTTGCACATTTTTCGATGCCTTCAACGTGCCGGTGTTCTGGCCTATCCTCGTAATGTACTTCATCATGCTCTTTTGCATTACCATGAAGAGGCAGATTAAGGTAAAACACACAGAGTCATGTACTCTGTATTCTGACTGTCATTGCTCTGGATTAACAACAACAATACTCTGCAGTGAAAGTTTTTATGTTAAATATCTGAACACTTGTGACTACAGCTGTTCTTAATGTATACTTAATGTCTGCTACTGCCCAATTTAAGTACAATCCAATAAAGCTTTATTTATAAAGCACTTTAAAAACAACATCGTTGGCCAAAGTGCTGTACTCAACACATGCAAGCATGTATGTAGTGAAAATGTTTTGTTAAAGGTTCGATGTGACAATTGTTTTTCTCCCTGTCCTTTGCAGCATATGATCAAGTACAGATACCTACCCTTCACACACGGGAAGAGGACATATAAAGGCAAGGAAGACACAGGAAAAACTTTTGCTAGTTAAAAACTCCTTACTTTTTGTCTCTGTCCCATCAGAAAAGTTGTCACAGCTAGTGGGGAGTAATGAAAATTAGAGATTTTCTTTTGTTTTTCTTTTTATTATTATTTTTCTGTGGGGCAGGATTTGGACAGTAACATGGAAGCATAATATGAAAATCCAAGTTTTGATTCATAGTGTCGGGAGGAGGATATGAGCAGCATGGATCAAAACACTGACTTGCTTGCCCATGAAACTTTTAAAACTTTGTCTGCATTTGTTAAATAGTACATGGGACTCAGTGTTGCCTTTTGCCTTTTCTACACCATTAGTGAAGTTTAGTCATCAAGAAAGAGCCAACTTAAAATAGCATTGCAGTAATTTTTTTTTAATGTCAGGTTCTTTCATCAATGATTATTTTGTTATTGCTCAATCCAAGTATGCCAACTTTTGAATTACTTTTGTGTTTTTTTGTAACAAATTAAACAGTTTATTGACGGTCAGTGAAGTTTTATTACAAAAGAATGCGATTAGATGTAAACTCTAGTGAAAAGCCTCGATATTAAATCATAAAGTTTTTGTCATTTGAAACGTGCTGCTCTGATTTAAGTCCCAGACAGTTGCTGTATGTACTAAATGAAGACACTTAGAAGATATAAGTGTAATATCTAAATATGCATTTATGATGGGCAGAAAACAAACTAAAGTATCAGAAATTATCACTTGAAATGACTGCATTTAGGACAAACGTGGTTTTTTTTTTTTTTTT